ACGGGATTCCTGGGTCACATGGTAAGTCTATTCCTAGTCTTTTGAGGAATCTCCATACTGTTTTCCACAGTGGCTGTACCAAACTGCATTCCCACCAGCAGTGTAGTTCCTTTTTCTCCACAGCCTCTCCAGCATTTGTCATTTGTGGACTTTTGAATGATGGCCATTCTGACTGGTGTGAGGTGATACCTCATTGTAGTTTTGATTTGCATCTCTCTGGTAATTAGTGATTTTGAGCACTTTTTCATGTGCCTATTGATCATTTGTATTTCTTCCTTGGAGAATTGCTTGTTTAGGTCTTCTGGTCTTCTGCCCATTTTTGGATTCAGTTGTTTGTTTTTTTCTTATTAAATCGTGTGAGCTGCTTATATATTCTGGAGATCAAGCCTTTGTTGGTTTGATTTGCAAAAATTTTCTCCCATTCTGTAGGTTGTCTTTTTGTTTTACTTATGGTTTCCTTTGCTGTGCAGAAGCTTGTAAGTTTCATTAGGTCCCATTTGTTTATTCTTGCTTTTATTTCTATTGCTTGGGTAGACTGCCCTAGGAGAACTTTTTTGAGACATATGTCAAATAATGTTTTGCCTATATTTTCTTCAAGGAGTTTTATTGTATCTTGTCTTATGTTTAAGTGTTTGATCCATTTTGAGTTTATTTTTGTGTATGGTGTAAGGCAATGTTCTAGCTTCATTGCTTTACATGCTGCTGTCCAATTTTCCCAACACCATTTGCTGAAGAGACTGTCTTTATTCCATTGTATATTCTTGCCTCCTTTGGGCAGTAATTTGATCTACTAATGTTAGCTTCATTCACCATAGGGAATCCTTAATTTATACTTAGTGATCTCTCAGTACTCAATAAAACACATATATTAATATCCTTAAAATGGAGGTCTCCTAAGATTGTCTGGGGTTAATGTGTTACAAATGTTTCTTGATAATTAAGAAAAAGAAGGGAGAAGATTATACACTAAGTGCCATTTTAATAAACTTTGACTTAACTGTGGCAGATGGCTACCTCCAGTAAATGTGTCAAAATGCCTATCTTGTCAAAAGAGCCTTGAGAAAGTGATTCCATAAAGTTTTCTTGTTTCAAATGCAGATTCGGGATCAAAATTAATTTGGACCTATAGAATGTAGAGAATTTTGTTTTCATTAAAAGAATGATGGATAGACAGTTTTCTTTCCTTTATTGCTCTGAAGAATGCATGATTGTGTCTTTCAGAAACCAGATCAATCTCTTGTTTTCTACTGCAGCAAAATGTCAGATACTCAGAATACTTGAGAAATTATGAAATCTGGTTAACTTGCTATTTTGTTTTACTAATGTTAAAGAACTTTTTATGTGCCTGGTTGTTTCAACAATTGTTTTAGTAGAAGTGTGTACAAAGAAAACAGTGTGAAATATATTAGTCCTTTCTCCTGGCTTCATTGAATATTTATTAATTAGAAAAATATTTATTGATCATCTTTTTGCTAAGCAATACTTGATGAAAGACTGTATGTTTTGGCCCTCAAAGAGCTCATTGTTTAGTAGAAAGAAAAAGGGATATGAAAATAATTAGATAGTATATTAGTCAAAACAGGCTAATGGTTATAACAAACAATGTTAATTTTCAATGGTTCAGTACAGCAGAGATTTATTTGGTTATGTTGCAGTACATGGGTGGTACACAAAGAGGATGGGGTGGGGTTTCTTCTCTTTGCAGTCAGTCAGGCTTTTTCCATCTAGTGGCCCTGTCATCTTTTTGGTCCCCAGAGATCTACCAGATTTTCTACATCCATCTAACAGGCCAAGGAAAAGAAATTTGGAGAATTACAAGGGAGATTTCATGGACTAGGCCTGGAGGAGCCATCTTTACACATTCTGTTCGTCAGCTCTCAGTCGTATGGCCATACCAAACTTGAGTGTTTTGATCCAGTTCACAGGGCTTTAAAGATACTTTGTGTGTGTGTGTGTGTGTGTGTGTGTGTGTGTGTGTGTGTATTTCCATATGTATCTAAGTCCATTTTTTCTGAGTTTTCTGTTGTCATCCCTTGATTTGTTTATTATTTATCCCTGTATCAGTACACATTGTCTGTATTTTAAGTCTGATATTTGGTAGATGGAGCCCCCTTACTTTGTTCTCTTTTTGAAAAATAACCGTGGCAATTACTGGCCATTTGCTTTTCCATCAAAATTGTTGAATCACCTTATAAAAGTTCCATGAAAGGGCTTCTTCCATGAATGTTTTGATTTAAATTGCATTTGACTATAATTTTATTAGAATTAAATTTGTATCTGATTTACCCCGGACTTTATTACATTGTAGTTGCTCAATAAAGGCTTTATTGACTAAATAAAAAGAAGATGACAATTCTAAGCTTCAGGACAATGAGCCCATTATAAGCCTTAACTATGCTTAGAACTGCAAATCAATTTTAAAATTGAGCAAAATTAAAATTAAAATTTAACTGTTGCAGATCCTCCACCATATAATGTAGTCCAAAGATATGATTGGTTTTTCAGGGCACTGAATTTAATCATTCAGATATTTAACCATGACAACCTCTGTAAGGTGCCTAGCACATCAATTAGTATTGTTATACATGGTAACAATGGATGATACTGTTGAATACATGGTAATTCCCTTTTGTTAGAACATTGTCCTACTTTATTAGCAAAGATCATTAAATGCCATTTTTTAAAAGTAGCTGCCCCAGGGAAACAAAAAAAAAGTTGATGTTTTATTTATTACTTTAAAAATATTATGTAATACTTTATTTAAGTATTTATTTATTTGTAATACTTTTAAAATTTATTACTACTTTAAAAAATTAATTTGAGTGCTAACAGTCCCTAATCAAGCTACAGCTATATTCCTGTATTACTATTTGATTGCTTGCTGAAGTTTAATAGCAGTATACATGAATTTAAAAGTTACTCTTATTAAAACCTTTTAAATATTTAAAAATGTAATATAGAGCTATGATGGCGAGCTTTTTCTAAGAGGTAAATGGACTACCAATGTGAGCTAATGAGTAAACTTTAGTATTATATGAAAAATAGTTATAACACAAAGGATTTTTCAAGGAAAGGAAATACATGTCAACTGGTATCCTCACCTATATAAGCATATTCTAATTAGATGATATAATCCCAGGGTTGGAAATTGCCTTGATAAAATTCATTACTATTTCCTTCCTCTCTCCCCATCTGTCTTCCCCATAATGTCTCTGTTTCTAATCAGGAGGAATAAAGTTCATGGCTGAAAAGCAGTCTGGAAATCCAGATAGGCGGCAGGAAACTACAGGTATGATATTCTGTTTATAGATTTTCTGTTTTCTGTTGATAGAGAAGTCAGCATAGTCTATTAAATTGATGAGGTCTTTAATGATACGTTCTTTCCCTGAATCTATGATAGAGATGAAGGATAAAAAGATTCAAAATAGACCTAATATGCTACAGTCACATTACAAATGGTGAGTCAGATGTAGGAAAGAGTAAACATAACATTTCAAGGTGTCTGGGAGGAAAAAAAAAATCCTCCCTTCAACTTCTAACTTCACTTTACCACTATCCGCTATCAGACTGTCCCAGAAAACTGAAAATGACCCAGATCTTGTGCACAAAAGCACATGTAGGGCTTCTAGACTCTAAAGCAGACAATTTGTAGTTATAGTGAATTGGCAGAACATAGCTCTGCAGTAAGAGTCATCTGTAAAACTGTACTGGCCAGGTGGCATTTTGAGTTCTCTCCTGTCTGACTGAAGCTCAGAAATAACAGAATGTGCCACAGCTAGAGACCAAGCCCATTCTTGGTGTCCTTATAACCCTGAAGTTAATTGTATGCCCTTCTGCTCCACCAGGTTGCAGGGTGGAGGGAAGAGCTTGGACCCTGGAGGCAGGCAGTGTGGGTTGGATCCCAGCTCTGTTACTTACCAGCCTTGTCTTGGGCCTAGGCCATTGGAATCTCAGTGGTTCTTTATGTAATATGGGAATTAAAAAATATTGATCACATTGCTGTGAGGATAAAATAGATGAAGGAGCTCCTGCTAGAAAAGGGCCCCATGCCTCACATCTCTCACCATTGACTCTCAAGTGCCTAAAATTCCTGCATTGCTCATGACTGTGAGATAAGGCAGGGGTGCCACACCAAGAATGAAAGTGTATAGCATGTTGGTGGTAGGGCTGGATGGCATCTTCAAACTAGCACCTTGGTCACCATTTACTTTTGCAAACTAGTTAAGCAGTCACTATGCAGGGAATTCCAAGGCTAGGACACCATATAGGAAAGTCTGGAATATGAAAAGCCATTTAGAAGTAGAAGATGAGGAACTATCAAAGAGGACAGGCCTGCGATGGGAGAGAGGGGTCACACTGAAGCACTTGGGTAAGGAAATGTGAGAGTCCTCCAGGTTGGAAGAAAAGGGTAGTAAAATCAAGTGGGGGTGCAGGTGGGATAGGGGAGTGGCTATGTACAGAAATGACACTTGGACTTGGAGTTATCCTTGGTTCCCCTCTTTCACACACCTACAACCAAATCATCAATAAATTCTACTTCCAGGATTTACCCAGCATCCACTCAGTTCTTACCACCTCCACATATACCCTGATCTAAACCACCTTATTCTCACGTCCTAATTACCACAGTAGCTTCCTACTTGTGTCTGCCTACCATTCCCTCTTATCATCTGTTCTCTGAGTACACAGTGTCAGATCATATCACTCCTTGCTCAGAACTCTCTAATGACTTCCCATTTCACTCAAAAAGAAAAGTCATTAATAAGAAAAAACAAACAACCCAGTCCAAAAATGGGCAGAAGACCTAAACAAGCAATTCTCCAAGGAAGACATACAAATGATCAATAGGCACATGAAAAAATGCTCAATATCACTAATTATCAGAGAAGTGCAAAATCAAAACTACAATGAGGTATCACCTCACACCAGTCAGAACGGCCATCATTCAAAAATCCACAAATGACAAATGCTGGAAAGGCTGTTGAGAAAGGGGAACCCTCCTACACTGCTGGTGGAAATGCAGTTTGGTACAGCCACTGTGGAAAACAGTATGGCGATTTCTCAAAAGACTAGGAATAGACTTACCATGTGACCCAGGAATCCCACTCCTGGGCATACAACCAGAAGGAACCCTACTTCAAAATGACACCTGTACCCCAATGTTCGTAGCAGCACTATTTACAATAGCCAAGACATGGAAACAGCCTAAATGTCCATCAACAGATGGCTGGATAAAGAAAAGGTGGTATATTTATACAATGGAATACTACTCAGCCATAAAAACTGACAGCATAACGCCATTTGCAGCAACATGGATGCTCCTGGAGAATGTCATTCTAAGTGAAGTAAGCCAGAAAGAGAAGGAAAAATACCATATGAGATCACTCATAAGTGGAATCTAAAACCAACAAACAAACAAACAAAACATAAATCCAAAACAGAAACAGACTCATAGACATAGAATACAAACTTGTGGTTGCCAAGGGGGCAGGGGGTGGGAAGGGATAGACTGGGATTTCAATATTGTAGAATAGATAAACAAGATTATACTGTATAGCACAGGGAAATATATACAAGATCTGTGGTAGCTCACAGAGAAAAAAATGTGACAATGAATATATATATGTTCATGTATAACTGAAAAATTGTGCTCTACACTGGAATTTGACACAACATTGTAAAATGATTATAAACCAATACAAATGTTTAAAAAAAAGTCATAATCCCAAGTCCTTCCCATGTTCTGCTTTCCTGGCCCCACATGATTTAGCCCAGCCAGCCCTCTGACCTCTCCTCCTTTTGCCCACTGCGCCCATCTGCACTGACCTTCTTACTATGACTTGAACATTCTTTGGCCTTAGCACATCCACACATTGTTCTCTCTTTCTCTGGAAATTCCTACCTCTAGAAATCTACATGACTCACTTCCTCACTTCATTCAAGTCTGAACTCAAATATCACTTTCTCATCCCAGAGGCCTTTTTGACCTCCACTAATACAGCATCCTGCACCCCATCATGGTCTCCTCTCTGATTTTTGCCCTGCACTTGACCATACTGCCCAAAGACAACATGCCACTGAACTTGCACGAGACATACAACCACCTCACAGGAACATGAGGAACATGAACACAGAAGAATCTGAAGCCCTTCCTTTGAGCTGTACTTATCTGTTCTCTGAGAGCCAGGAACCCCAGTTGGGGTTTTGGACTTCAGATATTCCTGCTCTGAAATCCATCCAGCAAGGTAGGGGTCAGGGATATGGCCAGTTCTGAGAAATCCTGAAGAGCAGGTAAGTGACCAGGAACACATATCTTTTGCAATTTGTTTATTTCACCCTCACAGAAAGTATTTGCCTGGAGGCCTACCTAACAGAACACCTTAAAAATACTGACTTTACTACACTTCTAAGCAATCTTAGAAAATATTTAAAATAAATAGAGACTAGCAAGATGTTCTCCTTCAATATCCAGGGCCTCAGATTTGAGTCTCAGCGATGGCTGGCTGCTCTCAGGCTATGAGTGTAGTGAATGCTCTGGTGTGCTGCACAGCTCCCACTGCAGGGAAGACACACTCTTTCTCCAGTGCTGGGAGTGTTGCTTGCTGACAGCTTCCAGCTGA